AGATCACCCATCGCCTTGGTCAGTGCATCTATCTTTGCGTTCATGGCACTAAGCTCATTGACTTCATACATTTCAGCAGGCTTCTTGGAAACACTTCTCGAGTTCGACCATTGATTCCTATTCTTTGCCATAATTTGAAACAATTCATAGGCATCATCAATTGACTTATCCATTAATGAACCTCCAGCTGCAGCATCCACATTGTTTCTTGCAAAGTCTGTCAATCCTTGATCGAAAGTCTGAACTAGAGTACTTTTCTCAATACCATGGTGAGGATATTTTCTTTGCAATTCCTTGAATCTTGTCCATGCAGCATGAAATGTCTTATCATCTTCTTGAATAAACCCAGTAATTTGATTTCTCAATTTCGCTGCCTTATGTGGTGGGAAGAAATTGATCAAGAATTCCTTGTATAGTTCATCCCAAGTTGTGATGGAACCAGGATCGCAAGTATTCAACCAATTCTTCGCTTCTCCCCTCAATGAAAAAGGGAAAAGTCTCAGCCGGATTGCATCTGACGTCACACCATTTATCTTAACAGTATCACAGATCTCTAAAAAGTTGTCAATATGTGCATTTGGATCCTCATTGTTAAAACCGGAGAATTGATTCTGCTGCACCATCTGGATCAATGCTGGCTTGAGCTCAAAGGTATTCGCAGCAATGGTAGGCCTAGTAATACTTGACCTAGCAACATTCTCTCGTAGGTGTAAAGTACTCCTCGGTGTCCGAGTGTTTACTCGTCGCCCATGGTTTCACTCGATTCTTCTCTTTTCTTAGTTTTGCTTCTTTTCATTCGCACGAGCTGTTCTTTCTATCTCTGGATCAAATTGCAAGAACTCGAATTAGCACTTCGCATATAAAAACAAAAAATATTTAAAAGAAATCACTAAAATAGTAAGACAATAAAATAAATAAAATAAAAACAAATCTAAACTAATAAAAGAAAGTAATCTAAATTCGATATTAGTTGTCTTCCCAAGAACGGCGCCAAATTTGACAAGCCGTCGTCACACTAGTCAAATAATAATTACCTACTTAATACAATTACTAGTAGTAAAGCGAAAGCGAGGTCGATCCACAGAGAAGGAATACTAATTACTGTATAAATTACTCCTATTATTATCTAGATAAATGATGATCTCAGAGTTATAAAATTTAAAACTAAACTAAATAAAATAAAAACAAATAATATTAATCCAAATAATTAGACAAAGGAAACCTAGGACATTGGGTTCACCTACCGAATATTTGGATTAGTTCAATTCACAAATATCTGACTTTTAACTTCCATTAATCTCACAACGATTCACCTAATTAAGAACTATACACTCTCGTGTTATAATTCTCTTACTTAGATTAACCCTATGACTACTCTCGTGACTATAGGAATTAACAAAAGCACATTAAGACCATTAAGAATCAAATATTGCAAAGGTTATAATCTTACTCTCGTAGCTTATAACCTAAGTTTATTATTCCTACAAACTAATACTAATCTTCCACTTTCGCTACTTCAATTAGTATCTTCAGACATGCAAATAGTGGCCAATTACTTACACGAATTAAAACAAGAATAACAAATATTAATTAATGGAAAAATCAAATAATAATAAACCAAATAAACCAAATAAATTCGGTGGCTACACCCAAGCCCTAGATTAAAGGAATTTAGCCACTAAACATTATTAAAAATAATTCAATAATATTTAGAGACATAATAAAAAATAAATAAATTAAATAATTAAACTTTAAAACCGAATTGACGCCAAAGACCCGCCAAAACTCCCCGGATTTGCTGCTCGCTTCACCGCTGCTGCGTGGCACGCCGATGATCAATGACGGAGGAAGGTGCTTCGGTGGTACGGCGTCGGTGATCAAGAGAAGGTGGAGTTGATGCTGCTGCCGTGTGTGCGAAGGCAAGGAAGGAGAAGTGCGTGGCTTTCTCGGCGGTGAAAAGGCAGAGGTGGCTGTTGCGTGGAGGGTGATGATGATGAAGAAGAGAGGAGCTCCGGTGGAGGGAGATGGTGGCGAAGGGCTGGTGTGGTGGTTATGGAAGCAAAGCGGCGGTGAAGATGGTGGCCCGGTTGCTTCGCGTGGATGATGGAGGAAGAAGGTGATGGCCGGCTGAAAGAGGAGGGAGTTCGGTGGTTTTCGGTCAAGTTTCGGTTTAGTTCTGTTGTAAAAATAAATCCCTAATCCTCCTTTTATAGGCTTCTGGCTAAACTCTACTCCTTGAAGAACAAGAAAACTTGTTTCCCAAATAATATCGGGATTAAAATTCTTATCCAATTCCAATCCCAAATCGGCCGCATAACCATAACCTTCTCGGCCAATTTTCCAAAAACTTAATTAACCAATCTAAAATTGCATCATTGGCCCTCCAATTCTCTAAACTCATTAATTTCCTCCCCATCAATTGCTTCAATCTTCAATTCTTTCCCATTGAGTTGCTTTTAATTCGATTTTAGCTCAAAACTTCAACAATTCGTCATTTGAGTACAATTCCTACAATTAAAGATAAAATCACATAAATAGTATATTTGTACTCAAAATATATTGCAAAAATCACAAATTAGGGATATAATAAATAGGTAAAATATAAGCATATCAGTGTGTAATACCAACTCTGAGTGGACATAAGCTTGCTAACTTCCAATCATCTCGTTTTATTTCTTTTTTTTTTTTTTTTGGTTTTGGTTTTTTTAAGGAGGAAAGGGGATGCCATAAGTTGTTGTATCACATTTTAAGGAATCATAGACTACTCTCTGATTCTTGAATCATATTGTCGTCGATGGTAAAGCTCATAGGGGAGCTCCTATTTCATGGAATACTAAACAAACAACCGATTTCTCTTCTAATCCTTGTTTAGGTATGGTTAGTTCATCTTTTCTAGGGAAATCGATTTTGTTAGCACAGAAACTATGGCTGGGAAAAATAACATGGTCCTGTTTTCGGGTTTCATCCAGTGCCACCAAAAATGAAGTGAAGTTGAAAGTTAATGTCCCCATCACATTGCTTCTTGCACTCGGAATTCCCCCTAGAAAGCCATGCACTTTGCTATACTATATTATCTGCGGGATCCTTGGTAGTGTTCTGAGAGGCACGTACCTGTTTAAATCCAGGTTTCGCCATAGTTGCTCAGTTGTCTTCCCTCGAGTGCTCCTTAACAAAACTGGAATCTCCAGATCCAAGACTACATTAAAGGTTCCTCTAGACTACAGTATTACTTAAGACCACAACATTAAAGGTTCATCATTAAGGCAACCATACAAAAAGGCAAAAGCTTTTGCCACGAACATAGTAACAAAATAAAAATTTCAAGCCCTGATATACCATCAGTAGAAAAGTACTTGTCCCCCACTCCTCACCAATCATCATAGCACAGTTTCACCTCTGGTGCATCAATTGTACAGATTCTACCGATTTCCTTTCCTACATCACAATTTCACGCAGCAGATTTGCATTAAAAAGTGACATTAAAGAGACTGTCAGAGACTCAAGAGTATTGTTGTTTATTCTTTTATTTCATATCAAAGTAGATCAAAACCTAATGGTGCTCATACTATGTATGAGAGGAATAACACAATCATTTCGAAGCATCAGCGAATCTCAAGCAGCCTCCCCAGCTTTTAGAAATCTTATATCATAGGGTTGTTCTAGTCAGAATGTATAACTATATGCAATGAACCAACAATACGACTGTAAATTATGGATTCTCTTCGAGGAGTCTGAGCCCCAACAACAAAGATAAACTTTGGCATACTCCTATACAGCAACCAAATTAAGGCATAAAAATGATAAGATACCTACTCTTACATACTTCAGAACAACAGATTCACAATAAGTACAACCAACCAGCTTAGGAACGAACATCACTTCATATACCAGAGCCGGACCTTGACGCGGAGTAAGAACTAACCAGGTCGAGTACCATTTTGACCTGTGACTGAAGTAAGATTTAGTGAGCATAAGTTTTGAATGAGCGGGTGGAAAGCTCAAGATTCTGACCAAACGGATGTGGTAAATAACCACAGCAATGAGCTGGAAACAGCGACTACACTGAAGTCCATAATACTAATCATCATGCAACAAATTATTACCCTACCCTAGTGCAAATATTTCATGACCAAATGTAGCAGGACCGACAAGGAACTAGAGTTTCATTTATGAAATGGACAGTTAAGGCATCTGTACAGACTCTGTGTAGCTGAAGAATACTACTGGATTGGAGTTAGCAACAAATTGTCAAATTGAAGACAAATTCTACAATGAAGCAGTATGTGAATTCATTGCAAGGTAAAGGTTCTATATTAGGTTCCACGTCATGATAATCACATTTCAAATATTTTGTGGATTTAGAACCTAATGAATTCATATGGGAACCTATAATCCGTAAGTAACCCCAAAATTTCCAGGTTTTTATATTAGGTTCCATGCCACCATATTCACATTTCAAAAATTTTGTTGATTTAGAACCTAACGAAGTTATATGGAAAGCGATAATCTGTAGATAAGACTGAAATTTCCAGCCCCCAAAAGAGTGACCCACTTCTGCAGCAGCCACTCTCGAAGGTGCTACAAAGGTAAGTTGAATCCAAAATCAAGTTAAGTTGTTGTACCAATGGAAGCTACATATTAAGACAAGCATGGAAGTGTGTCAGATATTTTATCACAAATTTTGCCTTAGAGATTCACTGTGACTTGAAACAATCGTTGGAAGCATAAAAAAACTTGAAATCCATACTGACTATTACCCGATTTCATTTATTTATTTATTTTTTTTGTGTTCCCAAGCTAGGTAAGATATGACAACATTAGTGACCACTTACTTCAAATGCTATAGTAGGAACCTGTATACTAAAACTACAAGAAAAATTGAACCTTTCTTCAAACAAAATGATCAGATAAGTAAATACCACATATTCACAACGTTTTTTAAGAACAAATTAGATACCAGCAGGAGAATCATTAGAGCAGAGATGTCAGCTTCTTCTTACCTATACCAGATGTGGAGCATAATGCCGAATCATGTCAAGTGCAGACAAGTCAGTATCCTTCAATGGTCCTTTTGCATCATGATCATTAATCAATACCAAACTCTCAACAAGCACCTCAATTAGCCAAGGTTCACCGATGGATTTAACACGGGGGTATGCCACAGATTTCTTCATTGGATCAGAATGAGCCATGATTTTCCAGTACTTAAAAAGAATTTTCCCATCTTTAGACCTTAAAATTGGCCTGCAATACTTCTTACGGTTAGGATCCTTCAACTTAGGGACTAAAAGCACTTTGGTCCAAAATTGTCTCAACCCCTGTTCCTTCCACATCCACATATCAATATGATTCGTCCGATGATAACAACTGACAACCAGACCTCCATCGAAAGCTCTAACTGTTACATCAAAAGTGCCCTTCCCATAATCAGGTTGTTGCAGCACTCCGAATGTTTCAGTCTTCAAGTCAAAATAACTAATCTCTACCCTCCTAGTAGTCCCTTTTGCCCAATATAGCTTTCCGCCCACAAAAAAATACCGTTGACCGAATTCACCGACAAAGCCTTGAATCTTCCTCCAAGAGTTGGCGTTTCCACTATACACAGCAATACATTTCTCCCCAAAATTAACAAGACACACTTGATAATCGTCATCAACCACGCTGTATAAAAACGAAACTTGGCACTGTCCCCATTGCTTCGATAATAAAGAATGAAATTGAGGCAATTTCTTAAACTTCCTAATCGTAGGGTTCCAGAAGTAAAGATCCCCTTTCACGTAAACACAAACAATACCATTTGCAGCACCCACAATAACAGCCCCGCTGCCATTGATAACATCATCTTCCACCGGGGTTGACTCAATAGGAGTATTGACATCACCAAACAAGGCAGGGGCAAGAGGAAAATACCTAGTGTCGCAATTGGGCATCCAGGTTTTACCGTATCGCGTCTTACACCGAAAAAGAACTCGATGGTGAGCATAATCATCCCTTTAGGAAGAATTCCTGAGGTGGGCTTCGATAAAATCCGGATTTGAAATCAGATCTCGCCAGGATTTGGAGACGCAGCTGAATTTTACCAGGGTTTTGGCAGGAAGCCAAGTGAGGATCTCGATTATGAGTTTGTCTGGGAAAATTTTGAGGGATCCTTTAACCAATAAGCCAGACATTACTTGCTTTGAGTGAGATGAAGAAGAAGAGGAAGAAATGAGTTGCAGAGATTCTTCCATGGCTGGAAATGGCGAAAATGCTTCAGGGGAAGAAGAAGGGTTTATTTCAGGTGACTTTTCGATTATTTTATTGCTACTTTATTTACTCCGTGAGAAGCGCCAATTTTGAATTTCGAATTTTTGTAACTTCTAATAAGAACTTCTAAAGGCGCCCCCTTTCCCTCCAAATTTCTGCGCCTTTTACTTTATTCTTTTCGATTAAGATTACGAAAAGCGTGGAATATTAATGAAAGGCGTGATCTTAGCTTATAGAATAACAGGCCTGGGAAAACCCAAAAGAAAGAAATACGACTTATTCATTGGGCCGACTTTATGGAAAGCCCATATGAAACAACCGTTTGATATATTTTGCTTAGTAGATATGATGAGAGTCAATATTAGGTTTTGACTCCTCTCTTTCCACTGGAACTCAACAAGAAAATTTTCAACAGAGAAGTCTTGAAATCGCTCAATGGAATCGGGAAGTGAAGATAATTCGAGTCGGAAATTGCGAAAATGTTGTGATGGGGGTGAAGTTTCTGATGGTAATTGTTTGATTCCGGTCGATCGGATTAGCTTTTTGCCGGAATCAGTCATTCGCCGCATTCTGTCCTTCCTCCCGACAAAATCCGCCGTAGCAACCAGCTTCTTGTCCAAACGTTGGTCACTCCGATGGACTAAACTAACCTGCTTCGATTATAAGGATCTATTGTGGTCTTCTGGGTCCCACAACAGCGACGGCGAGGACGAGAACGGCGACGAGGAGGGCTCTTATTCCGGGAACCGTGGTCATGGAATTTCGAAGATGGATTTTGTGGGCTTTGTTAACATGGTTTTGCTCCATCAGGATGCTGAAAACACAATCGACAGGTTTCATCTCGAAATTAAGAACCGCTCATTACGTAATTCCCCGATTATTACATGGGTCAGTACTGCTATTATTAGAAATGTTCGAGTTCTTGAATTGGATGCGTCTTCATTAGTTGATGACGATGATGTTGATTCTGATGATGCTTATGATGATTATCATGAATATGAGTTTCATTTACCTGTTGCACTGTATACTTGTGGTTCATTAGAGGTTTTGAAATTAAAAGGGGCTTTTCTGGTTAAAGTACCCCGTGTGGTTTCTCTTCCGAAACTTACTGTTTTGGAACTCGTTTCGGTTAGATATCAATCAGATGAATGTATTCGTCGCCTTATTTCCGGTTCTCCAATGCTTCAGACTCTCGCGGTTGACAGGTATCACTCTGATGATGGCATGACAGTTTGTACCATTTCTTCGCCTGTACTTAAACGTCTTAGGTATTTTCATGAGTCATGTGAGAACTGCGATTCTCCGGATGATCATGATTCTAAGCTTAAAATTGATGCACCTGCACTTGAATACCTTTCCCTGAAGGATTTTTTGTTGGAGAAAGTAACTCTGCGAGGTTTAACTTCTTTGAATGAAGTAGTTCTTGAAATCCCTTCTCATGTGAACACTGTTGAGCTAGTCCAAGCTTTTGTTCATGTGAAGTATCTGACATTATGTGATTTTACTGTAAGAAATCTCAGCGAAGCCACAAAAAAGTTGTCGTCAAGTTTTGACAATGTTACCAAATTGGTTGTTCGGGTCCAGTGCTGTGAGTTATCCTATCTGATGAACTTAATTGATCTTTGTGCCACATTAAAGGTTCTCCAGATTGAGAAGGTCCAATCTTTCCCAATTCACAACGATTGTTGGAAGGCCCCTAATGGTGTTCCTAGATGATTGTTATCCAGTCTCGCCCAAGTTTCATATTTGAACTTTGAAGGCCAAGACAGTGAGATGGCCATGTTAAGGTTTATCGTTCAACATGCTTCAGTGATGGCGAGACTTGATATATGCCGTAATCCAGAATGTGCTTATCCTAAGCAAAAGACTAATTCATTCAAGGAGATGTTAATGTCTTCTGCAGTCTCTCCAACTTGCAAAATCTCAATTTCTTGAGATGGCATTGTCAATGGGTGCTGAAGGAAGATGCAGTATTTTTTTAAAAGTTCTTACATGTTCCGGTTTTCATTTGCGGATGCACTTTTAGGGATCTTTTGTTTGTTTTATGTCAAATATTGGTCCTTGACTTTGGGTTTGTAGTGTTTATTTTGTGGTTTCTAGAATCAAGTTTGTGTCTACTGGTAAATTGGATAACCGGTAAGATGCATTTCCTTTTAATGCTTTCAGCATCTTTCGAAATATAGCTTCTTCGTCTTGGTATTCTCCTTGGGCGCCATGTTACTTTTCGTCAGCTAGAACCTCAACAGCTTGACGAGAAAGTTACCAAGGATTGAAGCCCAATTCCTGCAAAACGATGTTCATCTTATATGCTTTCCATTATGTCTAAAGCATACTGAATATTTTCTAGATGTACCAATGAGCATTGTTGGCTGGTTTATTTTCCGGTGTCCTAGGTTTTACCTAATACACATTTTTAATTGATTAAAAAAACCTTAAAAATGTATTTTCACGTTGGTCGTATTCTCTTGATTGTTATGAAACATTTTAAAGATTTTTTTGTCAATTGAAAATATGTACTAGGTTAAACCTAGAACAAATCAAAATGCCTTATATTAAAGATCGAAGGAGTAGAACAAATGTTTAATGTCTAAATGTAACCAGAATATGTATTAGGTTAAAGTTAAGATAAATCAAAATGCCTTATATTAAAGGTGGAAGGAGTAGAACAAATGTTTAATGTCTAAATGTAACCGGACGTAATAGGAAACGAAGTTTCATTCATGATTCAGATATTAAAGGCATTTCCAGAGCTACTAGAATCAAGTTACAAAATGAAAGAAACTTCCTTTTAAGTGGTGTCAATTCTACACATGAATAAAAAAACATTTGATAATCGTCATCAATCTTATCATAAGTACTCGAATAGAATTTGGAGTATCTTCCCTTCTTTGTCAAAGTATCAAATTTAGGCAACTTTTTGAACTTACAAATATGGCAGGGTTCCAGAGAAAGAAAACCGTTTGTATGAAAACATGGAGAAATCCATTAGAAAACATTTTTTAATTATTAATCAATTAAATTGTGTACGTATTTATTCCTTTTTAACATGGCAACATTCTATTATTTTATTATTACTATTGTTAATTGTTTATATAGTATCACAAAGTTCTAAAGGAAGGAATATTGTCTTTTTTTCTTTTTTTTTTTAAGGAATATTGTCTTTTTTCCTTTTTTTAAAGACAAAAATACCCCTCCAACTTTATGGTTAATTAGACGGAAAATTGAGTTGGGATGTAAATAGTCGAAAAATTACCTTTTTTAGACGAAATAGGATGAAAATGAGCATTTTAAAATGTATGGGACTAAAATAATCTTTTGACCAAATGTATGGAACGTTTTCTGTGATTTAGTAAAAAAAAAAAAAAAGGAATTTTATCCCTTTCCTTAAATTTCTAACGTAGGGTACAAATAAAACTCTCTATAAATGGGGTGAACCTAGGTTAGAATTACCCTGCAACAGAAAAACGAAGAAGCAGAGTGGCCCGCCCGCAAGACGACTGCAAAATCAGGTTTGGTTTTTTTTCTTGCCGATGTTTTTTCCGATCAAATTGTCCGTCGACGTCACCGTTGAGAGTTCACATTAAAGTTTCTTTGTGTTGTATTGTTCCCAGTTTTTTTTGATTACTTACTTTTTCCTTTGCGAAATCAATTTTTCAGTATGGATTTCATCAAGAAATACGACTGGGAGTTGGAGCGGAAGCGCCGGGAGGACATAGATTACCTGAGGAAACAGCCGAACAAGAACGAAGTTGCTCTGAAATTGGCAAAGCCCATCATCCTTGACAGGAATAAGCTCGACAACAATGTCAATTCCGTGTTCTCTCCCCTGTCCTTTCATGTCCTGTTGGGCATGCTTGCTGCTTCGTCCGGGGCCGACCCGACCGGAGACCCGATCCTCGCTTTCCTCAAGTCCAAATCGGTCGATGAACTTAATTCGGTTTGTTCTCTGCTAGTCAATTATGTGCTGCTCGACGACAGCCTCACTGGCGGCCCAATCTTGTCGTCGGCTAATGGGATTTGGCAGTCGGCCCCTTCCTCACCGGACACCAAAGCCCTCTTGGAGGCTGTTTATAAAGGTCAATTCAGGCAAGCCGATTTCATCAACAAGGTCAGGTTTTTGTTTGTTTTAACATAAATTACTCATAATATACACAGTTTGTTTACTTTACTGATTTACAATCATAATTTACAGAGTTCTGTTTTTTTTAATTATGCTTTTGTTTTCGTTATGAAACTGTTGATTTATTATGTACATAATTAGTAACCTGAGTTGGTCGATTGATTGATTGTTCTAGGCCCAGGAGGTGGCTCGGGAAGTGAATGAATGGGTTGAAAATGAAACAAAAGGCCTTGTGAGAAACATTCTCCCACCTGGTGCTGTTGGCAGATCCACGAAATTGATTGTTGCAAATGCACTGTACTTCAACGGAGTATGGACAAAGCCGTTTGGGTCATCAGCGACAACAAAGCGCGAGTTTTTCCTTTCGAGTGGTGGATCGGTAATGGCTGATTTCATGACCGGCAGGTGTGATCAATACATAAGTGAATATGATGGTTTCAAGGTGTTCGCCTTTTTTACCGAAACGGCGATGATTGGAATCGATGTTTCTCCATGCACTTCTATCTCCCTGATGCTGTGAATGGGTTGCCTGGATTGGTGGAGAAATTTGCATCGGAACCTGATTTCTTAGAGCAATATAGGGCTGGTGAGAAAGTTCGAGTTGGTAACTTTCTGATTCCCAGGTTCAAGATGTCATTTGGAGTTGAAGCTTCAGAGATTCTAAGGGATTCTGGCATGCCCAACAACGTCAGGGTGTTTCACAAATCCTTCATTGAAGTTAGTGAGAAAGGAACAGAAGCTGCTGGTGCAACTGTTGCTCCGGTATTCTGTTGTGCAGCGGCTCCTCCTCCTAGACCTACCAAGATACTAGATTTTGTCGCCGATCATCCATTCCTTTTCTTCATAAAAGAAGACGCTAGTGGGACGATACTCTTCATGGGCAGCGTCCTTAATCCTCTGGCTTCGAACCAAGAGTTTTGAAGGAATAATCATAATGTAGTTGCTTGCTTGCTGTGTTTTAAGTGGCCTATCTAGGTGGTCTATTATTATCTAGGTAGTTTCAAGGGGATTTTTTTCTAAGGGTAGGTAGTTCAAGTGGTCTATTATCGTATTAGTTACAAGGTTTTTGTAACTTTAAATTATGTAGTCGAATAAAGAAAACATCTATCTTTGTTAAAAGTTTCTATAAGTTTATAATAGTCTAAATCCTTCAACTGCCTTTATGGTCATCTGGCTAAGGCAAAGAATTCTAATAAAAAAAAAAAATTACTAAATGCATTATGCTTTTCTTTCAAAAGCTCTTGGGATAAAAGTAAAGCCTTTACAAATTGCCTCAATTGGTGAAATGCGGCGTAATCCTTAATTTTGATTTCAATTCCTCAAATGAAAATAACTCCTGAAAAGGCATCGAAAATCAGTTAGTATAAGGAGCTCCTAGGAGCTCCTGGTATGGTGCTCCTAGCGTGTGTTTCACGCTTCAAAAAAAACACTCCCAACCCCTTTTTTCTAAATTTTTAATTTTAAAATTCTCATAACAAAAAAAATATAAATACATAATAATATTGGGTTTTCTTTTTTTCTTTTTTGCAGTTCTTCTTCGTAACCTTCTCCCAATATTATCCGATTCAAAAAATTTTTAAATTTCCGATTTAGATTTGCCGTTCAGAAATCAAATCAGTAAATCTCGTTTGAAATTCCCTAAACCTCCGCTCCATGTTTTAGATATGCAGTTCGAATCCATACGGTGAATCGTCGGATTCAGATCTGTTGGTGGAAAAAACAAATTTCAGATCTACAAATTCATGTAGAAGGATGGAAAAAGTAATTTTTCTTCGGAGAAAAGCAATCAAAAAGCCATAATCTGAATTCTTCGAAGTAAAGCACATTAAAAAAAACCCAGATGGCTCAGAGGTAATACATATTAATCTCTTAAAGTTTTGTATTTTATACTAGTTGATGATGGGCTTCGTAGATCTAAGCTCTGTAGATCCAATTTCTTTTTTTTTTCTTTGTAAAGAATTCATTATTCATCAGTATCAATTAGATTATTCATGAATTTTATAGTCTAAAAAATTCGTAATAATTCATGGGTATGATAGCTGTTATTTATGGATTCATTCGTTGTGCATGGTTATTCATCATGTTGTTGTCGGTTGGAAATCTGAGTTTTATAATCCTAGGATTTAACATTATTATTTTTCATCAATTTGGTTATTCATCCGTTCTGCAGGGTTATTCATCCGTTGTGTATGGTTATTCATCAGGTTGTTGTCATGTGGAAATCTGGGTTTATAATCCTGTGATTTAATGTTGTTACTGTTCATCAATTTCATTACTCATCCGTTCTGTATGATTATTCATCCGTTGTGTATGGTTATTCATCAGGTTGTTGTTGGTTGAAAATCTGGGTTTATAATCCTAGGATTTAATGTTGTTGATGTTCATCATATTTAATTATTCACCCGTTGTGTATAGTTATACATCCATTGTGTATGATTATTCATTGCGTTGTTGTTGGTTAGAAATCTAAGATTTATAATCATGAGTTTTAATGTTGTTATTCATCAAATTGTTTCTTTTGTCGTAAAAAGAACCATTATTCATCAGTATTAGTTAGCTCATTCATGTATTCATCCGATGAGTATTAGTGAACTTATTCATCAATATCATTTATTGTATGGTTATTCATCAATATCATTGGATTTTTTCATGTATTCATTCATTATCCATTAATCAATATTTTTGTCAAAGTAGAGTTTTTATTGAATGTAAAATCTCACTTATTGTAATATTTTCTTTGTTTGATCAGCGTTAGAGAAATGTTCATCAAAATAAACTCGATCGGTTGGGAAACAAATATTTGGCAGAGTTGCTGAAATCAAATAATCAACATATACGTGTCGAGTATCGGCGATTCCTTCGAGAAGTTTGTTAGCTTAGGTAGACCTCAAGAATTCAAATATAAAAAACAATGACTAGTTTTCAATTCTGATATAATCTAAATACAAAACTAGAAGTTTTATTAGTTTTGTTGTTGATATTAACTCATTGTAAAACATACCCTTGTTATTTCTCTTCATTAAAGTGTTCATTTTGTTGCTTGTTATTCATCCACTAATCATATACTATACATTCAGTAAAATACAATTATTCATCTAGCAAATTTTAACTTTTACATACAACCATCTAAGTATCATTATTTATTCAGACAAGTTCTGAAATTCATTATTAAAAGAAAAATTAGTCATCCGAGACAATAATGTTATTTTTCCATAATAGTATATTTATTCACTCAGAATAGCATTGTAATTCACGTGTAAAATTTGCAACCTTATTCATCTATATGAATATCGTTATTCTATTAAAAAAAATCAATAAAAAAATTTAAAACAAGTGTGTGCTGGAAAATAGGTGCATTTATAACTAAAATTTTTCAAAAAAAATATAATAAAAAAGTTAAAAACAAATATGTGCTAGAAAATAGGCGAGAGTGTAACTGAAGTTTTATAAGAAATAAAATCAACTTGCGTAGAAAGAGAATGTATTACACTTGCTCCCTAAAAGCTCCTTGCATCGTGCTCCTAGGAGCTCCTTATTATTTGCCATCGAAAATAGGGGTTTTATTAATGCAATTTCAGGGATCTGTAGTTGTTTCTTTTACGTCAAAAATTGTCCTTGACTTTGGGTTTGTAGTGTTTACATTTTGTGGCTTTTAGAATCAAGTTTGTGTCTACTGGTAAATTGGAGAACCGGGAAGATGCATTTCCTTTTAATGCCTTTAGGTTCTCAATGCTTTCAGTAGCATCTTACAAAAATGTTAGCTTCTTCCTCCTGGTATTCTCCTTCGGGGCCATTTTTAACTTTTCACATCTAGAACCTCAACAGCTTGATGAGAAAGTAATGAAGCCTAATTCCTGCAAAACTTTGGTTCATCTTATATACATTCCGTCTAAAACATACTGAAAAATTTCTAAATCTAGCAATGAGCATTGATGATGTAGGCTGGTCTAGTTTCACTTGTTTGGATATCACTATAGTTGCTCCATTGTAGTTCGCGTGAACATGTAATTTCTAGGATTTTCACGGAAAGAAGTCTGAGATTTCTTTTTGGGTGCTTGGGTGTGTGAAGAGAAAGTGATCATATGCTGAGTTTCCATTGTCTGAAATCCCGAAATTGTCTGCTAGCTAGGGTTTTGATTTTCTTACAAAGGCGCGCGTTAGGTATTCTTTTTGGTTCTTGTAAATCGACACCTTCTTTATCTGGGATCATGGAAGGTGATTGTTTAACCAAATTCTAGTTGTGTCATTTCTTCCGATCAAGTCTTCGACGATTCCAGTAACATTGGACTCCCGCCAAGGCTGTAAAATCAGGTTCATCAAGAATCGGGGCGGCATAATTTCGAGTTCATAGGGTGGAAATCAAGTAAAGTCATTGCGAGAGGATCAAGCATAGAGTTGTCACATTCACATGTTTATCTCTTTTGAGATCTTCATATTCATGATGTTTAAGATTAAGGAAACTTTCATTCATCGACTATTAAATAAATATTAAATAAATACCATCACAGCCTTAATCCCGCCTTAGTAAGTAATCATAATCAGATACCAAGTTATCAAAGACTACATTTATGGTTGCCATAACCATACAAAACTTCTGCCAACCAACATAGCAAACTACAAATTTTATTTCTAATATAAACCAAGAACCATAAGCACAAAAGTCGCGAATCGATCCCAACATAGTTACCCTCTGTTGCATTAGTTCTGCAGAACTTCATTCAACTGCCAGTCCTACAAGACACAGCACTTCTGCACCCAAAAAGAGAAGGAACAAAGAGATTGTCAGAGACTCTTGAGTACAGTTGAATATCATACACTATACAGAGCTCTCAATTTCTGTCATACAAGCAGATAGCTTTTAATTAGAATCCACCTCACTTTATCCACATCACTACAATATTCTACATTGGTGGCTTTATGAATTTAGACATGAAGTTGGAATCCATAAACCAGCCAGAGTGCCCCAATATTGCAACAGCAATCCCAAAGTGCCAAGAAAAGCTGATTTCTCTAGTAATCATCTAAGAGGATAATCAGTCAAAAGGAGAAAAGGATAACATCAGAAGCCAACAGCAGATGACAAAGCAAACTTGAGCACGAAAGGTGGAGAACTATTTGGAAGCATAAAAAACCTAAAATTTGCCACTATATATTGTTTCCTCCATTCTAAAAGGAGGATATAACATCACCAAACTTTACGTGCTAGAGTATGAACCAGTGCATTATAACTAAAAGGAAAATGGAAATTTCCACTAACAAGTAATGAGCATAACTATTTGGACTTAAATGAGAACAAGTTTCGATAACGATAGGGGGAGCAGTGTAGCAGAGATGATTAATCCTTTTACCTATACTAGATGGAAATGGGGACCAAGGTGCCGCATCATGTCGATAACAGATACATCAGTATCCTTCACCGGCTCTTTGGCATCATGATCATTAATCAAAACCAAACTCTCAACAAGCACCTCAAGTTGGTAAGCTTCTCCCATGGATTTTACACTAGGGTATGTCACAGATTTCTTCATCGGGCCAGACAGAGCCAAGAACTTCCAGAACGCAAAGAGAATTTTCCCATCCTTGGACATGAAAACCGGGAGGCAAGACTTCTTACAGCTGGGATCCTTCAACGTAGGGACTAATAGCACTTTGGTCCAAAATCGCCTCAACCTCTCTTCCTTTATGATCCACAGATCGATATGACTTCTAGGATGATAACAGATGACAGAAAGACTATCCTCAAAAGTTCCAAGCCCCAAATAAAAAGGGGAACCATAATCAGGTTGTTGCAGCACTCCGTAGGTTTCAGTCTTCAAGTCAAAGTAACAAATCTCTGCCTTTCTACCAGTGCCTTCTTTCCAATACAGCTTCCCACGCACGAGAAAAGCCAATTGATCTAATCCACCGACAATGCCTTGACTCTTCCTCCAAGAGTTGGTCTTTCCACTATACACAGCAACACATTTCTCCTCAAAATAAATAAGACACACTTAATAATCATCATCAATCTCGTTGTACTCAAAGCAAGCTTGGCGGTGCCCCCAATTCTGCTTCGATGAAACAAGAAAATAAGGCAATTCCTTAAACTTCCTAATCGTAGGGTCCCAGAAGAAAATATCCCCTTTCACGCAAACACAAACAATACCATTTGAAGCACCCACAATAATAGCCTCGCTGCTATTCATAACAGGATCCTCCACTGGGGTTGACTCAACAGGAGTATTGACATCACCAAACATGGCAGGGGCAAGAGCAAAATACCTAGTGTCGTTTTGGAGCACCGAGATTTTACCAAATCGCTTCTTACACCGAAAAAGGACCCGGTGGTGAGCATAATCATCCCTTTTGGAAGAATTACCGAGGTGGGCTTTGATAAAATTCGGAGTTGAAATCAGAGCTCTCCAGGATTTGGAGACGCAGCGGAATTTTACCAGGGTTTTGGCAGGAAGCCAAGTGAGGATCTCGATTATGAGTTCGTCTGGAAAGATTTTGAGGGATTCTTTGCCCGATGTGCCAGATATTTCTTGCTTTGAGAGCAAAGAAGAATAAGAAGACGAAATGGGTTGCAGAGATTCTTCCATGGCTGGGAATGGCAGAAATATCTTCAGGGGAAGAAGATGGGGAACTCTGAGTGAAGGCAGGGGATTCTCCCATTATTTTATTACTTACTTTATTCACCTTATTAGTGGCGCGAAATTGGAATTTCTAATTTATTTTGTCCAATAATAATTCATAAAGGCGTTATGCTTCTCTTTCTAAATTTCTGCGCCTTTAAGCTCTTGGGATAAAGGAAAGCCTTTACAAATTGCCTCAATTGATGGAACATTGCTTAATCCTCAAATTTGATTTCAATACCTCAAATGAAAAAACGCCTAAAAAGGCATCGAAAATAGCGATTTAACTAATGAAAGTGTAACGTCGTGAATATACTGTGATATATGACGTAGCGTCTAAAGAAATATAACAAGCAACTATCTATTCTTTCTCTTATAGTAAAGAAGTACAAGTACAAAAACATAAAACCGCGAATCTATAGATTTAAATGCCTACATAGCGCGGGCAAATGATTTTGGAGTCTTCAATCAAATTTTGGCCTGGTTCTACTTCGTGGTCCAGCAGTAGCAATGGTAGTTGTGACATGGGCGGAATGCATACAGAAAGGATTAAAAGAAAAAGAAGAAGAAGAAGATGAGTATGGAACTATGGATGGTTTGATGTTTCTACAAAATGATCATTTCTTGTAAATGCCCCCCTTTTTTTTTTGTCGCATTGCCCACTTTGTTTCATTCAAAGCAAAACTTGGAGAAAACTCATGACGGTGTCCTCTTTCTTTGACTTGCTTGTGACAATAAAAAAACTAGACAATTTCTAATTGATGCAATTATTTACATCTTGTTTGATTGCAGTATGGAAGTTGATTCTACTAGAAACTTTGGAGTTACGGCATCACGAAGATCCTATTTCATACAGTTTGAAATGTAATAGGAAACACTAAAATATGTCTGCTCGCCTATTCGATCATAGACTTCAATCAGATAGCGAGCTGTTTGGTGTCATACAGGGGTTTGGTCATTGATAGGGAAGAGAATAGAAACAAAAGCACATACCAGACATGATGACATTTTGATCCTTAACACGATCTTAGCCTACATTAAAGGTTCATCTGACACAATGTTTCGCTGTCGTGAAGTAACACACAAAGGTTAGCCAGCAAACATTGCGAGCATACAACGTTTACGCATTAATATACTACTAGCAGCACCATAGTTATCCTCCCAAAACAGCTCCTTCTTCACAGCTTCATTCAATCGCCTTTACAATACTTCAGATTAGCCTAAAAAGGGAGACAACAAGAGAAAAGGATCTCAGAAGATAGTTGACTATAAGAAACTTTTAAATTTCATCTCCGAGTGAATTGAACCAAATGATGAACATGAATTAACAACCCAATCATTTAGGATTAGCAGCACATGTGTAGCATTAAATACTTGACCTCCATTTTGTTATGCAGAATATAAAAACCACCACACATTGCCAATCCTAGTCTCAAACAATCTCAAGTCATGCGTGTATCTAGCCATGGTGTATAACTCCTATGAATTACAACATATTTGCCAATGAAACAAGAATAAGACTGTAAAAGGCGTGGTTCCTAAAAAGAGTTATATCCCTAAAATAAAATTTAACTTTGCCCTAGACAGCAACCAAATTAAGGCCAATGCACAAACTAGACAAGAAAATGGTCTAACACGCCTTAAGAACTACAAGTTCAAAATGAGCCCAACCAGACTTTAGTAACAGAAATCACTACATATACCATACTCGGTCACCCATGGTCCAAAACAAACCAAGTTACGTTACACGTGATTTGTTGACCGACTGAAGCGATGGAAACAGAAAAGCAGCAAGCAAGAGTGCATGACTAAGAGGAGATTGACATAGATGTACATTGTTTTACAGTTCAGAAGGAGGTAGAAAACCCAGAAGTTAAATCTGAAAAGAATGTTGTAAATTAGCACACCAATGGGCAGGAAAAGAGAAGCTATACGGAACTCCACAAAACTGGTGATGTTGAAGAAAAATTGATACAAATGCATTTTTGACCCAACAAGAAGACATTTTTCTGGGAACAACCTATTGTCTCGTTACAAAATACAATACAATTCTTTGAATGATTCGATCCATTCAACAGTAACTTCCCTTAGAGCTCTTTCTTGTGCGTAATGCTTGGGGTATAAACATGTGTTCAAACCAAAACGGGATTATGCAATGAAAAATAAAGAGGAAAGCAGAGTTTACAAGAGAAGTACGTATTGGTGGAAATTGGTCACAAACAATCATGAATGCAAGGTTTGATTAAAATCAAAATCATTTTGCATCTGTATATCTACTTCTTCAGAACTCTTAAATAACAAGGAACATAACAATCACCTAAACAACAAACACCCAAACTAATTTAAATGGACATCGAGGGAATTTTCCACACGCCGCAGCTACTAAAATGGAATTTGGAAAAAGTTGTAAAATGAAAGAAACATGCCTTAACTGGTGAAAATTCAACAGCATGCAAGCATATCGATTTTCATTAGGATCTATCTCACTTTTAACCACATCACTAAAACATTCTACATGTGGGACTTTATGAATTTCTGTACAGTTAGAATCTATAAACAAGCAAGAGGATTTCAGCCCCAAAAGGAGTGCCGGAATATAGCAACAGGAATCCCAAAGTGACAAGATAAGTTGATTCCAAATATGGGAAAAACTGTGTCTAATCTAGTAATCATTTAATAGACAATCAATCAAACGGAGAAAAGGATAACATCAAAAGCCAACCATAGATGACTCAGCAAACTTGAGTACAACATGTGGAAAAACTATTTGAAAACTTAAAAAAAACTTGAAACTCCCAGTAACTATTGCTTCCTCCATCTAAAAGTAAGATGTAAGATTACATGCTAGAGTAAGAACCATTATAGCCATAAGAAAATGGAAATGTCCATTAATAAGTAATGAGCATATATATTTAGACTTAAATGAGAACATGTTTCGATAACAATACGAGAAGCATTGCCGCAGAGATGATTAATACTATTACCTATACTGGATGGAAATGGGGATGAAGGTGCCGCATCATTTCGATAATAGACAAATCAGTATCCTTCACCGGCCCTTTTGCATCATGATCATTAATCAATACCAAACTCTCAACCACTACCTCAACTAGGAAAGGTTCACCAAAAGATTTTACGCGAGGGTATGTCACAGATTTCTTCATCGGGTCAGACAGAGCCAAGAATTTCGAGCACCCAAAGAGAATTTTTCCATCCTTGGACATGAAAATTGGCACACAATACTTCTTACGACTTGGATCCTTCAACTTAGGGACTAAAAGCACTTTGGTCCAGAATCGCCTCAACCTCTCTTCCTTCAGTATCCACAGATCTATATGACTAGTCCGATAATAACAACAGATAACCAGACCACCTTCAAAAACTCCAAACCGCGAATCAAAAGTGCCACTACCATAATCAGGATGTTGCAGCACTCCATATGTTTCAGTCTTCAAGTCAAAGTAACAAATCTCTGCCCTTCTACCAGTGCCTGTTTTCCAATACAGCTTCCCACGCACGAAAAAAGACAATTGATCCTATTCACCGACAGAGCCTTGAATCTTCCTCCAAGAGTTGGTGTTTCCACTATACACAGCAACAAATTTCTGCTCAAAATAAATAAGACACACTTGATAATCATCATAAACCTCGTTGTACTCAAACAAAGCTTCGCTGTAGCTCCAATCCTCCGATGGAACATGAAATTTAGGCAATTTCTTAAACTTCCGAATTGTAGGGTTCCAGAAAAAAACATCCATTTTAACGCAAACACAAACAATACCATTTGAACAGCCCACAATACCACCTTCGCTGCTATTCATGAAAGGATCCTCCACTAGGGTTGACTCAATAGGAGTATTGACATCACCAAACAAGGCAGGGGCAAGAGGGAAATACCTAGTTTCGTAGTTGGGCACCCAGGTTTTACCAAATTGTGTCCCGCACCGGAAAAGAACTTGATGGTGAGCATAATCATCCCTGTTGGAAGACTTCCTGAGGTGGGAATTGATCAAATTCGTCGTTGAAATCAGAACTCGCCAGGATTTGGAGACGCAGCGGAATCGTACCAGGGTTTTGGCAGGAAGCCAAGTGAGGATCTCGATTATGAGTTCATTTGGGAAGATTTTGAGGGATTCTTTACCCGATGATCCTGACATTTCTTGCTTTGAGTGCAAAGAAGAATAAGAAGAAGAAATGGGTTGCAGAGATTCTTCCATGGCTGGGAATCCCAAAATTTTCTTCAGATGAGCATGGGAAATGAAAACTCTGAAGTGAGGGGCTAATTTCAGGGGATTTCTTCGATTATTATTTTCTGATTACTTTATTCACCTTATTAGTGGCGCGAATTTGGTATTTCTAAATTTTTTTTCTAACCATAATTCTTAAAAAGGCGTTACGCATTTCTTTCAAAAATTTCTGCAGGCCTTTAAGCTTTTTGGCAGAAGGACTTTAAGCCTTTTACAAATTGCCATCACTGCTTAAGGTTTCAATTCCTCAAATAACAACTTCTGAAAAGGTATCGAAAATACTAAAAAGAGGTTTTATTAATCAACGTGTAACGTCGTGAAAATACTGTGATATACTACATATGACATAGCGTCTGAAGAAAATACAAGATGCAACTACGTATTCTTTCTCTTTTTAGAAAGAAGTTAATTACAAAAACACAGAACCACCAATCTATACATTTAATTTAAATGCCTGGTTGGTTAGCACGCGATAGGCAAATGTTTTTGAAGACTTCCATTAAATTTTGGCCTGATTCTATCTAGTAGTAGCAGTGGAGATGCATTGCGTGGAATGCATATAAAAGGATAATACAAAATCCATTGATAATTCGTTAGATTGTATCATCCAGCTGTTAAATTATAAAAAAATGATGAGTATTGTTTGATGTTTCTGCAAAATGATCGTTTGTTGTAAAATGGTCCCTTTTTGTGGCCGCATTGCTCTCTTTGGTCCATGCAAAGCAGAAATGGAGAAAAACTCTGATCACGGTGTCCTCTGTGAAAGAGAAATTGTCAGAGTTGAGTTCAGTTTCTGTGACTTGCTTGACAATTGGAAATTAATAATACTAGGCTATTCCTATTTGATGCAACTATTTACATCTTGTTTGATTGCAGTATGATAGTTGATTCTGCCGCTAAGAAACACTAAAAATACGTTTGCTCGCGCATTCCATCAAAGACTTCAACCAAATAGCGAGCTGTTTGGTGTCATACAGAGGTTTGGTCATTGGTGGGGGAAGAGAATAGAAACAAAAGCACATACGACGCATGATGACATTTTTAATCCTTAATACGAACCAATACCAACGTGTCTTAGCCTACATTAAAGGTTCATCCGACACAATGTTCTGTTCTGCTATCGTGAAGTAAACACACAAACAGGTTAAGCCGGCAAACATTGTAGCAAGACAGTTATCCTCCCAAAACAGCTCCTTGTACGCGCTTCAGTCAAACGCCCTTGCAACACTTCAGATTAACCTAAAGGGAGAGAAAAGCAGGAAAAAGTGATCAGAAGATTGTTGATTATCAGAAACCTTTTTAATTTGATCTCTGATCGAATCCAAACCAAATGATGCTTGTGATGAACATGAGAGAATAACCCAATCATTTAGGATTAGCAGCACGAGTGTTGCCTTAAATACTTCCCTCCTATGTGTTCAAGAAAACATGCAGAAGAGCAAAATCACAAGCATAGCCAATCCTAGTCTCGCACAATCCATAAGTCATGCGTGTTTCTAGCTATGATGCATAACTCCCACGAATTCCAACATATTTGCCTAGGAAACAACAATAAGACGGTAAAAGATGTCATTCCTGAAAAGAGTTATATCCCTAAAATAAGCAACCAAATTATGGCCCTTGCACAAAGTAGACAAGAAACTGCTCTTACACTCCTCAAGAACTACAAGTTCAAAATACCCAACCAGAGTTTGAAATAGACACCATTACATATACCATACTCTCTTACCCATGGACTAAAACTAACCAGGTTACGTGTCATAATTAACCTATCGAAGTGATGGAAACAGAAAAGCAGCAAGCAAGAGTGAATTACTAATAGGAGAGTAACGTGACTGTGCATTGTCAGAAGAAGCAGGTAAAAAACCCCAGAAGTTATAGCTGAAACAAATGATGGCAAGGTGCACCCGAATATAAAAATTTAATTCAATCTTGAAAAAACAACAAATCACTTTTTACTACTCAAGACTTTCAATGTATATAATAATACAATAAAATACACTATTTTGCCAACAAAACATCCGTTGGTGACCACATTTTTTAGAACGTGCCCGTTTTTTTCATAAATTAATGCGCATGTTTTCTTTAGCCTAGTTGCCAAAGAAAGCTAGGGATGATTGTCGGACGCGGTGATTTGATTTTTTCGAGATGGCCTTTCTTCCAGCTGCTTCTGAATTTTTAAACATTCCTCCAAATCATGTTTGCTGCTTCAGTTCCCACCATTTCAGTTAGTCAATACAGGTATGGCCCTGGTTAGTAAATAGTGTAGTCCAAGGATAAGAAAGTCGATAGATATAGTTATGCTTGTTCCTCAGGTTGGTGGCTGGGCTTATTGTGAATTGTGATTCTAGATGAGTGTTAAACTAGGCTGCAAGCTGTGATTTTTTTCTTCTGAAGTGTTTGAATATTTTGGAGGCAAGGAGCTTTGCTGATTGATAGAGATGTGCTCGTTCTCCTAATTGATTGTGTCATTCATCTCATATGTTTCATGAGCACCATTAGTTTTTGATACAAGAGTATATGATAATCAAGGATACTCTGACGAGCTCTCTTTTCTGTCGAGATCAACTCTGGTTTCTGTCGAGATCAATTCTCAAAACAAATCAGTTTTGCGCCTCTTCGTCAACTGCGGTAAGGTTAATTAGAAGGGGATTATTCATGCCATGAGAAAAAGCTTCATGTTCTTTTTATCTGCTTATCCTTCCACTGATACGCAATTTTATCACCAAGAAATGTGAAAGCGGTATAATCATTCATCAAAGGAAAGGAAAATAATACGTTATATCTCTTCATGTACGAAATAAAGGAACAAAGAAAGCAGTGCAGATGAACTCAAGGCTGCTGGTTTCTGTTTGTGAAACCTGACACCATTGCTTCAGGATAATGGTCACTCAACTTTGCTTCAGGCAAATTCACTGTAACCTAAGCAGAGATTAGATAAGCCGTTGTTGATAATCAACGATTTTGCTAATCTTTCATCCACAGAACCCGAATCCCGACACGTGATTATATAAACTTGATAATCATCATCGGTCTCATTATACGCGAAAAAGGTTTCGCAGTACTTCCCTTTCTTTGGTTTAGCATCAATCAATGTAGGCAACTTCTTCAACTTCCTAATGACAGGGTTCCAGAAAAAGAGATCCGCGTTTATGTAAACACAGACAAGTCCATTAGCACATCCCACAAGGTTGTAAGGCGGTAGGGCAATGGACTCAAGGGTAGTGTTGTTGCGCCCATCAAACAACACAGGCGCAAGAAGGGAGAGCCTAGTTTCTTTGGCCTTGAACCCCAAGCCCAACACAAGGGGAGCATAACGCCGAAAAAGAAGCTGGTGTGAGCACAATCTTCCCAGTTGGAAGAATATTTGAGGTGGGCTTTGATGAATTCTGGAGATGAAATCAATGCACTCCATGATTTGGATACGGACCGGAATCGAACCAGGGTTTTGGCAGGAAGCAAAACGAAGATGTCAAACAAGAGTTCGTTTGGGATGTGTTTTCTGGGATTTTCGCTGAAGCACATTTCTTCTAGGCTTGGGTGTGAAGGGGAAGTGATCAGTTGCAGTGTTTCCATGGTCTCAAACCCAAAAATTCTCCCAAAAAGATGAAAGGGGTTGTGGGCAGTTTTTGGTTTCTTGCTAATGGGGTTTTCGCAAATTCCACGTCTTTGTATATGCGGACTTGACAGCGCGGTTTAACCAAAAATTTATTGCGATTGCGGATAGGTGTTTCTTGTCGGTCAAGAAGGACTTCAAATAATAATCTCTATATGAAGTAATCAAAAAAACTACCTTAAATGTTCATCTCAACCCTAAGTGTATTAATTTTTAGTGCTAGTACCAAATGTAGTTCTATCCCTGATACTGAATTAAACATAGGTCTACTGAGCGTTAGGATCGGCACTGGTTGCAGAGATTCTTCCATGGCGCCAAATTCTTCAAACGAAAAGCGTGTTTCCTTACCGATTCTAAACAAATTCCTTCGTGTTACAATCATAGTTCACTTTCCGTATCAAATCCATTGCCTCAATTTAAGAAAATAATCTCATCATAAATTGGATTGCAAAGTCGGCCATACAATGGTTGCTTTAACTTAACCTATAGACCTCCTTTTATGATAAATCTCTCAACTAAAATAGAGAATACACCAAAGTAACGAGAATCTAAATGAAACCTTTCTTCTTTTCCATTTACTGTGCATAATTTTGTGACATCGCATAGTTTAAGATGCCCTGTTCTTATCAGCATTTCTCATCTTTAATCATGCATCAAGATTTGAAGAAAAACATGTACTTTGCGGTGTTGTCATCAAGATTTTATTCGAGTCAAGATGTATAACTTCTGCGAATCACCATCCTTTAGTTAATGAGAGACAACAAGAAGAGAATTTAAGAATGTAAACGATGTAGTAATTCTTTTTGAAGAGTCTCAATCCCAACAACAATAATAAAGCTACCAAACTCCTATACTGCAAGAAACTAAGGCCATTGCACAAACAGAAGAAAACTACTCTACCTCAAGAACCAAATCTCAGGAACATGCATCACTAACTAGGCTAAATACCGTCATGGACCAACTGAAGCCAAGGAAACAGGAAAGCAGCCAGAAAATGGTCCTTTATGCAACTATTTATTCACCTCACTCTACAATAAATAGTCCATATATAAATGTAGCCGGACCAAATGGGAGCTGGAGTTTAACAATACGCGATAGACATTGAAAGCATTTTCCACAGGCCACATCTGCTTGAATGGAGTTAGCTACAAATTTCAAAATGAAAGTTACTTGCCTTAATTAGTGCAACTTCTACCATGAACTTCCAATATATTGGAACAACTAGAAGTGGCGAATTCTATATAAAAATTGGAGAACCAATACAGCAGAAACAGCCGCCGGTAACCAACTGGTGTTGACACAAGTGATAAGTAGCTTGATGCCGCTTAAGCAAGGTCTCGGGTTCGAAACCTTGTGGATGCAAAAAACTCTTGTTGGGAGACTCACCCACCACAGCCAGGTGTGCGATCTGGGTTGACCAACGGATTAGTCGGGGCAAAGCTCCGGAAACCGTGGCAGGCAACCAAAAAAAAAAAAAAGAAACAGCCGCCGGTATTAGAGCAGAAGCACGTTGGCAGATGTTGAGGATAACAGATGATGAATCAGCTTCGTTTACTGGTCCAATCGCATCGTGGTTGTCAAGTAAAACCAAACTCTCAACAAACACATCATTGAGCAAAACTTTTTCCATGGAAGTTACTCGAGGCTGTGTAACCCGTTACATTTAGGATCAAAAAGAGCCAAGGAGGAGTTATTGTACCAGGAAAGAATTTTCTCATCTTTAGTTGAGAAAATTGAAAAACAGAAGTCATTGGCATCAATTTCAGGAACCAAAACCGCTTTAGTCCAAGGTTCTTGCACTCCATATTCCTTCATGATCCGGAGATCCGCATGACCGTCGCAGGAATAACAACAGACAGCCAGACAACCTCCTTGCATCACATACAAATGCCTGAATCCAGCACCCTCATCATAGTCTGGTTGTTCCAGCTCTCCATATGACTCACTCTTCAAATCAAACCACCTGATTTCCATGGTTTTATCAACTCGTAAGGTCCAGTGCAGCTTCCCATTCGAAATAAAACATAGATTAGGAGCTCCTGCAGGGAAATCAAAAGCTTCAATACTCTTCCAAGAGTCGGTGTTTCCACTATATAAATTAGATTGGCCTGCAGAATTTCTTACAAACAGGATCCTTAAACTTAGGAACCAAAAGCACTTTAGTCCAAGATTTTTTCACCCCATATTCCTTCATGATCCAGAGATCCACATAACTATTACGATAATAACAACAAACTACCAGACAGCCTTCCAACGCCCAGAAATCCAAATCGAAAGGTCCCTCACCGTATTCCGGTTGTTCCACCACTCCATAAGACCTATTTTTCAAATCAAAATACGCAATCTCTTGCCCTTTGTCAGTACTTCTGCCCCAATGCAGCTTACCACACACAACAGAAAACCCAGAAGCAGGTCAATCTCCGAAAACGAAACCATCAATTCTCTTCCAAGTATCTGTGTTTCCACTGTAAATATCAATCCAACCTTCCCCACTCCGGGCAACATCAGAACCATAATCGCCGCGGACAACAACATAGAGTCTATACTCATCCTCAATTTCGTCATACTCAAACAAAGTCAGATCTTCCTTCCATTTCTTGATTCATCGTCAATTCCAGCCGCCAACTTCTTGAACTTCCTAATGGCAGGGTTCCAGAAATAGAGTTTGTTTCTCACGGCAACACAGACAAGCCCTCTACAAGAACCCACAATCCTACCTTGGTCGCACATCATAACCGGCTCATCCACATTGCTGGACTCAATCGGAGTTGTTTTGGGCCCAAACAAGGCAGATGCGAGAGGGAAATGCTTAGTGTCATAGTCGAAAGCCTTCAAGTCCCCAAATGACTCAATGCGGCGGAAAAGCACCCGGCGATGAGCACAATCATCCCTTTTGAAAGAATTTTCGAGTTGGGCTTTGATGAATTTTGGGGTTGAAATCAGAGCTCGCCAGGATTTGGAGACGCAGCGGAATCGGAGGAGGGTTTTGGCAGGAAGCCAAGTGAGGATCTCGATTATGAGTTCATCAGGCAAGTTTATCGGGGAATATTTACGAGATGGGCCCATCATTTCTCGGTTTGGATCGGAATATGAAGTAAATGATTGCAGAGTTTCCATGGCTGGAACCTAGGATGCGAGGAATTCCGGCGAGGGAAGAATGAGATTTTGAGAAAATTGGGGGATTGAGGCGGGGTTTTTTCATTTCTGAGAGGCGCGAATTTGATTTTTTTTTTTTCGTGTGCTTCTAAAGGCGTGAATTATATGTTTCTGCAAATATTTACGCCTTGAAAGCGTGCTTCCCTTATGACGTATATAAGACTTGGATTCCTCCAAGAGGCGTGATTTTGATGGTAAAGCCTGGCTCTTCGGTAATGTTTCATTTCACAAGGGAACAAATTAATGATGCGAATGTGATTTGTGGATCGATCAAAATGATCACTTGAAAGATTTTATTTTAAAGGGGGTCTTAAAGATTTCACGTGTGCTTCTAGGTTTTCTTCGACATCAATCAATCAAGTTTTTAAACGTATTCTATTTTCATTGTTAAACGAAGTATTTTCTCGGCTTTAGAAGAATAACTCACTTTGTTGAGCTCAAATAATACGTAAGGGAATGAATTTTTGTTTTGTTTTTTTTTTTTTTTTGATGCGACGTGATGGGGTAAAAGGTTAATATATACCGACTATAGGCACTAATTATTCTAATTGGGCAGGGAGTGCTGATTTAATAACATAATGAAAATCTAATAATACTCCCTTCATCCCGAATTGATTAATGTTCAGTTTTGATTTTCATTTTTATTACAATTTAAACTAAAAATAAAAATTTAAATAATACAATCAGTTTAGAACATAGTAATTTTTTTTTTTTTTTGAAAAGATACTTGTATATTAATTAAGAAGTACCTAAACTATTACATCGTATTCTATGAAATGCTAAATTATGTAATTTTACGACATTTCGCCTACTCATTTTAATCAGTGAGCAAGACTGAAATAAAGAAATACAAGTGACTAACAAAGAAACCACCTCTTGGGCCTCAGAAGGTATTAAAGCATACCGTAAATCTCCAGTCAAAGATTTACAGTCCGTATAAACTTGAAGACGAGTGATCCCTAAATGTAACGCCTCTTTCAGGCCAAAAGACAAGTCATTGCCTCGACTTGAAAAGGAGAAAGTACACTTAGATCCACCGTTTTGATTTGCATTACCATAACATGATGTGATAGTATCTTCCAAGCACCAGCAGCTTTGCGTGATTGATGGCTGAACGAGCCATCAAAAATGAATAAGGAATCTGCCGGACCCCTCGGTGGTAGCAATGATTGTGTGTTGGGAGAAGGTCTTCCAGCTCCCAATCTACCAAGCTTAGCTTGTGAAGAGTGATTTCATTTTGGATAAGTCTCCAAGATACCGCCGGATCATGAGATTGGTTTCTCCAAATTTTATCATTCCTCTCCAACCGATCCTCCAAATGATGATCAAAAACAAATCAACCTCCTCTTTAGTGGGATGAGATTGAGTTCAATGAATGAACCATTGATGCAAGGAGTCATATGTAGAGTTGAAAATTGAGCCAAACAGAGGAAAAGCCAAGGCCCAAATGGCCTGAGAGACTTCACATTTAAAGAATAAATGTAAGCTATGCTGCTCCTGTCTACCATATCTGGGGCATAATGAGTCCACTTGAACTCCCCTTTTGCATAGTTCTGACCGTGTAGAAAGAGCATTGAGTAATGCTCTCCAGAAGAGGAACTTGTGTTTGGATTGAACTCTAGAATTCCATAGTCTTTTCCAAGTTAATTTCTCTGCATTTTGAATTGTTGGACTTGGCACGGGTTGTATAAGGAGAGCATTGATGGTACCTTGACTTGAGTTAATGATCAGTAAGTGTCCAATGGAGCTTCTCCTTTTTTATTTAGTCTTACCGGATCTATAAAGATTTTTTGAATGCGAGAGATAATATAATCTAGAAAGAAATTACTAAGAACATGAGTCTTCCATTGACCATTTGGATTAATAAAGTGGTCCACTGTCAAGTTAGACATAGCTGAAATGGAATGAGTCCCAATCGAATTCTGAGTATCAGGAATCTAGTTTGCTGATAGAGGGATGCCCTTCCCTGAGATGACCTTCCATTTGGTATGGTTCTGCAGAAGTTCAGCTCCCCACATGATGCTCTTGAAACCCCAGGAGGAGGTATTGGGAGGTTGTACCGGAGGAAACGTGCCATTGTTGTAATATTTGACACGGATAAGCCTAGCTAGGAGAGAGTAGGGCTGAGAGATTATTTTCCACGCATGTTTGGCTAAGAATGCTTGGTTGAATTCCTTTGTAGTTTTGAGACCCAAACCTCTAAGAAAATAAGATTTTGTAATCTTCTTCCATGATCTCCAATGAATTTTATGTTTCTGGCTGTCTCCCTTCAAATGAAATTACCAATAATCTGGTCAGCCTTATGTAAGGTGTGAGCAGGAAGATTGAACACTCCCATTAGATACACTAACACTGAGGACAAGGTGGATTTGGTCAATGTGACTCGACCAGATAATGATAGCAGCTTTGTCTTCTAAGAAGTAACTTTAATGCTGATTTTTGCAGTGAATTCCTTAAATATAATAGTCTCCTTTTCCTTGAAATCAAGACTCATTCCCAAATATTTACTATGAAACTGACCCGTGGGAATCTTGAGAGTGGAATGTATGAATTCTTTCATTTCTGGGCTTGTGTTAGCACTAGTAAGGATTGAAGATTTGTGGAAATTAATACGCTGGCCTGAGAAGCTGGTGTAGTTTCCCAATAACCCTGCTAAGGTTAAAACAAAAGACTCCTTGCATTCAATGAAAAATAGACTATCATCAGCATACATGAGATGACTCACCCTAGGTGTATGACGACTGATTTTTACTCTCAAACTTGGAAAGTTACGAATCTCTGATGTAATTGCCGAAGAAAGGACCTGTTGACAAAGGATGAACAAGTATGGCGATAAAAGACATCATTGCTTTAATCCCTTATTTGGAGAAAAGGGTGGTAAACTTTCTCCATTAAATTGGAGGGAATAAAAGACTAAAGAAACACAATGCACGAACGTAGTGAATGTGAGGCCTTGTTTGGACAATAGTTCATTTGACATTTTCACTCATTTTACCTTTTAAGCACAAAATCCAATGGAAAAGAAAATATCATCCAAACAATTTCTGATTTACATTTTAAATTCTAACTTGAAACACTTTTTGTTATTGTAATGAATATTTTAGAACTACAAATAGTTTAGTGACAAATTTGGCAGGATTCCGTTGTTTTGTGATTATTTTTGGAAAAGTTATTTTTTGTAGTGACTATAATTGACAGTATTTAATTGTTTAGTAATGACTTATACTTGATATTTCAAAATGTAGTCCAAAATCCTTTTTTTCAAAACCAACATCCAAACAACATTTTTATTTTCTATTTAGTTTTTAATTTGAAATACTTTCCACTTTTAAGTGGTAAAATGAAATATAAGTTGACGTCCAAACAAGCACTAAATTTTTACTTGCAACATTTATTTTCTTCATTTCAAAGGGCCGGTCATGAAAGGTTCTCATTGTTTGGTCTAGTTTGAGTTTAAATTTGGAACCAAGTTATTGGCCATTTTAAAACAGAGTGAATAAATTTTTACTTGCAGTATTTATTATCTCTATTTCAAAGGGCCGGTCATGAATGGTTGTTTGGTCCAGTTCGAGTTCAAATTTGGAACCAAGTTATTGGCCATTTGGAAATCTAATTCAACAATGAATTGAAAATATTCTCGTTGCTCGGCAATTTCTATACCCAAATTGGATAACAGTGGTTTCGATAATTTTTACTGAGCTAAGAGCTAACGCTAGATTTATACTCCCTCTGTCCCAAAATTATTGTCTACTTTGAAATTTCAATTTTAATACAATTTGAATTAAAAATAAAAATTTAAACTGGAAAATAATTATGGATCGGAGGGCGTGTATCTTTATATAATCCCTATTTCAAAAAAATATATATATATATAGAAAAACAAAGGAGACAAACAAACTGTCATTTGTCATCCCTGAGAATTCCGCCAACTGTGATTTGCAACTAAAATGACTGCCCTTCTAATCCTTTAATTTACATTTTGTATATTTTTCAATACAAAAATCCTAGTATTCAAAAACGTTTTACATGTATATCGAATAAAAATTTTCACGGTGAATGAACGTTGGTGTATCAAAGTATGAAAATATATATAGGTGGTGAAACCAAAAGAAAACAGAATGGCATGTGGGTTAGAAAACAAAACGTACAGATTACATATGTAGTTTACCTATCATTTTTGGTGAGACAGTGTTCTAGTGAACCAGGGAAATTATTTGGAAACCTAGCTTTATAGTAAGTTTCCAAGTTTGTGGCTGAACTACTCTCTTACCCCTCTCCTTGGCTTTGGTTTCACATAATTTCTTGTGGTTCATTTCCATTTCGTACTTTTAAGTATTATTATGCTCCATTCTTGCAGTAATTATTGAGATATGGGGACCTTTATGTATGCATTGTAGTTTATCATTTTCCAATCAATGAACAAAAAGTTCCAAACAAGATCAATTGATCAATGAAGTTGAGATCTATCACGAGATAAATAAAAACAATTTGAATCCGAATGGGACCTTTCTTTGCTTTTTTTTTTTAAATTTTTCTTTATAATTATTTAATTGTGTTGCGTACACCTATTGGTCGGGATTTAGACACATAATCGTGTAGTCAAAGGTGAAATTTTTTCCAATCTTGAAAAAAATGATCTTATTTGCTATCGTCAAGAGCATCCACAATATTACTAAATAACAAGTAAATAATAATCTTATTATATTATTTATATCAGTGTGTTAAGTTTAATAATCTGTGACGGTATAAGAATTCTTACACTATATAATACACTGTTTTAGAGTTAATAAATAATTAATGTGGATTAAATATATATATATATATATATATATATATATGTTGGTAATGTTATCAATCATCAGATAACAATTTTACTATGCGCTCCAGGTCCAATGACTTACCAACATGTAAATATGATTTTTTTTTTTTTTTGGTAGTAAATCACAACAGTTCACTAAGTGTCAAATTAGATGATTGCTCATAAATTTATGTAGAAAATCAGATTCAGTCTGGCATATATAAGAAGTTATGACGAACAGTTTGATTGACAGACCCTGGCCAAGTGATCGACCATTCATAATTCAGCTATAATAATTTGGCACTAAAATACAAAATAAATAAAATTATCAAGAGAAGAAAATGACAAAAGGCATGTTTTAGGAAATGTTTCCTCCCCTGTAAAAATTAGGGCAGTCATATCCAATCTGAAAAATGAAGTTGGATTAAGGGGTCAACGGCCATCGAGGGATAAAGTCAACCTCATCAGAAGTGAAATTAAAGAAGGGAAGTGTAAGAGTAGAAGTTATTAATTCACTAGAAAATACGTAGGTTATTGTTTTTGTTTAAGAAAAAAAGAGAGTTTAGTATAATTAAGTTTGAAAACTTTAAAGTTAATTGCACCGTATTATGACTTCTTTTGGATACAGAAAGCTCATGATCAAATGTGAAATGTGCATGTCGCATTCACGTCAAAACATGAAGCAGGTCGGAAAGAAAAAGAAAAAAAAACCCTATTTATATAATTAAGTACTCCTTATATCTCAAAATTTTTGTTCAGTTTAGATTTTAACTTACAGTTTAATTTTTACTAAAAAGTAAAATCTAAATTAGATGATAATTTCGGTACGGGATATTTTTAATTTGGATGCAACTTTTACATTGTAATTCCGGTAGGTGTACCTACTTGATTCTAACGTTCAATAACCTTGTTTAAGAGTTTTCTTGCTTCTTTTCTCTTTTCTCCTAAGTACTATAAAGTATGAGACGAAAGGAGTCTTTCAGGTTTATTACAAATAAAACGTGATAAATGTATTCATCATGTTACTTAATTTATTTATTCTTCTAACTCCATATATCCATGATGGAAAGCCAAAAAAAAAAAAAAACGTTGTTCGGCTGGTTAAACTTCTTACTCAAAAGAATTATGAAGGAATTGCTTAATCGCACTAATTGGAAATTCTCCAGTTGGGTTTTTATTTTTTTTATTTTTTTATTTTTTTTTCTAATGCTCCGGTTGGGTTAGTTGTGCTTTTAATAACCTAATAATCTGTACGTATATATGTTAGCTCCATTTGGTAAATGAACATAATATAATATTATTCCCGGTTCTGTGAATTATTTTGTGATGGACGATTTTTCTTTATGTAGGTTATATTAATCAACTCTACTTTGAAAAGTATATCATTGCCAAAAGACAAAGTCACGTACAAAATGTAAAGGAGATCAATTCTTGATGGTTAAATATAAACAGTAATTCGATTCAGTTATTGTAAAATTTTACTAACATAATAAGTATTCCTTCTATTTTTTTTACAAAAAAAAATAAAATAAAATGTGTTGTGGACCGTTAACAAGGACAGACAAACGTTAGGTACGTAGAAAGCCACTGGAGTACTGGTCAGAGTTTATTTAACATGCATGGTGCTATAAATTGACTAAAGAGCAAAAGAGATCAGAATATACGGTCAATGCAACAAAAATAATTAGATAAATGATGTTTTTGCACCATGTGATGGTGCAGTACCTAGTTTTATCGTCATTGTTTCCTACCAAAACAACATGCATATATATATATATATATATATATATATATATTCATTCTTCAAACCATTTTCTTTCGATCATAAAGCTGTTGCTTTTAAGCATATAATAGTTTTTGACTTTGGATTAAAAAAAAAAAACCCTTAAAAAGTTGTTGCATTTGAGATCACATAACAACAAGCTGCATGGACGATCCGGATATTAATGATAGCCTTGATGTTGCCGTAGAAGTTGACGCTGAAAGTGGTGATATTGTAGAAGACATCAAACCATCGACGGCGCACCGGTTTCCGGCAAAGGTACGGTAATATATATAATGGTAACACGCTTGTTATTGCATGTAACAAAATATTACGAGTTTGAGTTAGGAATGATACATGATATATAAGACTCTATATATACATAAATTAAGGTTTAATATGAATTTCTTCGTTTCAGGAATATACTACTAAGGAGACATTATTGTTGGCGTACCAATCTTTGGGAGTTGTATATGGAGACCTTGTCACATCTCCAGTCAATGTCTTCTCTGCCACTTCCTTAACAAACCTTAAAGAAGAAGATCTACTTGGCACTTTCAGTCTTATATTTTGGACTTTGACAATAATTGTTTGGATCAAATATGTTTTCATAGTTCTTGATGCAAATGATGATGGTGAAGGTGGTACTTTTGCCCTTTATTCCTATCTATCTAAACACATTCGTTTGGAGAACAAATTGATGAGCAATGTTGTCCAAACAACTACAAATTTGGGATGTGAAGTTGATGATGAAAAGGTGAAATACCGTAGCAGGTTCACAAGAGCTATTAGTCCAATGGGTTTGAAGATCAAGAAGTTTCTAGAGACAAATCACAAAGCACAAAATGCCCTTGTGCTTATTGTTTTAATGGGAACTTGCATGGTCATTGGTGATGGAGCATTGACACCAGCAACTTGTGGTAAATAAATTTCCAAGGACTAAATTGATTTTAAGACTAACAATATATTTTTTTTTGAAATTAATTTTGTCAACTGATCTTAATTTTTTTTTTTTTTAAGAAACACCAATGACATATACTAATTACTGTCTCAAAAACCAAACTGGACAACAATTTGGGACGGATGGAGTGACATTACTCTAACTTCAAAAGTATAATTATTCACTCTTAAAATAAATTAACTAATTAATTATTTACTTTTATTTTTAACTTGCAGTTCTATCAGCAATCCAAGGAATTCAATCGTGCTCATCAAAGATAACACAAGGTAATTTTTCTTTTAAAAAAAAATATAATCTAAATCGATGAATTCTATTGTCAATCATTTCCACACACACACAACACTCACCATTCCAAATCTTCATAGTTTTTTTCACTTATTACTCATGATTGTTTTACTAAGTGCTGCAGGCCATGTTGTTTTCATCTCTGTGGTTCTGCTGATAGTGTTGTTCCTTTTCCAACATTATGGAACAAGCCATGTCAGCTTCATGTTCTCTCCAATTATGCTGCTTTGGCTCTTCACCAACAGTGCAGTTGGAATCTACAACATTCTGAAGTACTATCCTTTGATGCTTAAAGCCATATCTCCTCATTACATTGCCCTATTTGTTTCAAGAGATGTTAAAGCTGCATGGACAATCCTTGGTGCTGTATTCTTGGGCATCACAGGTAGAGAGAGTACTAATGCCAGTACTTTAGTACTCCGTCTTAGATAATTTGTCCACTTTACTGTACTATTTTAGTTCAACAAAGTGGACTAATTTTCCGGTGCAGAAAGTGTGTTATAGTACATCACCTCGACTTTGAAAAAACTCAAGCTAATCTTCAAACTTTAGGTATCGTCGATTTGGTCAAAATCATTATAACTTGTGTGACTCAATGTGAAGATCTAATTTTGACTTTATAATCTGATTGTCCCAGATTGGATTGATAATTAATAAAATTTTATGTTTGTTTTGTTTTTTTAGTGTGTGTTTTTAAGTGTTTTTTGTTTTGAAAATGTAAAAAAATGTATTCGAAATGTAAAAAGATATGATGGGATGGAACAATTAATAATAAATTACTCCCTCTGTCCCAAAATTATTGTCCAGTTTGGGATTTCACTTTTACTTTAATTTGTACTAAAAATGAAATTCTAAACCGGACAATAATTATGGGACGGAGGGAGTAATATAAAAAAAAAAACCATCAAGAAAACCAAACAAACAAGTTTAGTAACAATCTATTCAAGTGATTTTTTACCATAGGCTTTTTTCAGATCAACACATTTTTTTCCCTTTATAAATACAGATATGTAACCCTCATGAATTGGAAAATAGTCAAGACGATTCACTCAATTAAAATTTCTTGAATTAATCCAGGAGCTGAGGCCATGTTCGCTGATTTAGGCCATTTCAACAAGAAAGCAATTCAGGTACTAAGCAAGCTAATGCAAAACTGTCTTTTAACATTGTATCTCAGAACTGATTCAGTTAAGTCAGCTCCAATAAAGTAATGATCTTGCTTGTTATTGATGCAGTGGGCATACTCATTCATTGTGTATCCATCGTTAATCCTCGCCTACGCCGGCGAAACAGCCTACCTAATCAGATACCCTGAAAACATCACCAATGCATACTACAGTTCCCTTCCAAAGAGTGTGTATTGGCCCATGTTTGCGATTTCTACCTTAGCAGCCATTGTTGCGAGCCAGTCCATGATATCTGCAAGCTTCTCTATTGTGAAACAGTCACAGGAACTCGGTTGTTTCCCTCGAGTTTCCGTGATTCATACCTCTTCCAAGTATGAAGGACAAGTTTACTCCCCAGAAATCAACTATGGTCTTATGACTCTTTGTGTTGGTTTAGTCATTGGATTCAAAGGTGGCACTGCTTTAGCAAATGCATATGGTTAGTTCCTTAACAAATCCTTCCTTAAGAAGTTTATGCTTTTAATTACTCCGTGTGGGCCTAATGACGAGGCACAGATTAACACTAAAGTACGTTCGAATTTGTGTTTTAAAATTAGGACCCGAGAGAGTATTATCTTAGTGAAAGATGGTCCTTAACTCCATATTGTTAGAAATATAAAAAGGTATGCTTTGATGGAATAATTATAAATAAATTAATTTGAAAAAATCATACATTAAAAAAAAAGGAAACAAACAATAAACTTCAATTATCGATCTAATCAATGACAATCGGGTCAAAATGATTTGGAACCATGTCTCCTTGATCAATAAACTTCAATTTTGACCCGATTGTCACTTTGATCAGAACAATGAGTAAAGTTTGAGATTAATTTGGAACTTTTTCAAGATCAAAACTATTAAAGGGCTTTTTGGGTCTTGAAAAAATGCAGGGGTTGTTTGCATTTGGGTGATGATCATAACAACAATGTTGACAACATTAGTAATGTTGGTAGTTTGGAATTACAGCATCCTTTTTGTATTGGCTTTCTTTGTGCCATACATTTTGATAGAAGGAATCTTCATGACTTCACTCCTTAACAAGATTCCTCAAGGTGGTTGGGTTCCATTTGCCATCTCTGTTTTCCTTGGCACAATCATGCTAGCTTGGAGATACGGAAGGAATGAACAGAGCATTTACGAAACAGAGCACAAGATTAATCCCCATCAGCTGAACCAGATGATTTCGACACCCGAAATTCATCGAAGCCCGGGAATTTGCTTCCTTTTTGCAGACATTGATGATGGGATTCCTCCAATTGTTGGACATTACATCTGGAACACGAAATGTATCCGTGAAATCGTCGTGATTCTTAAGATCAAAACTCTGCCTATTGCAACTGTCCTGCCAGATGAAAGGTATAATGTGGAGAAATTGGGAGATGAAGGGGTTTATAGTTGTTTGATTCAGTTGGGATACAGGGATTCCCTGAATCTGGAAGAAGAAAGTAATCGAATTGCTGCAATACTGGCTGAATCAGGGGATTACCCTGGTAATACGATAGAACAGAGAAGTGTTTGTTCATCAGAAACAGAAAACGAAGCTGTTTTTGTTGTGGGAAAGATCATTCTTAGAGCTAAAAGGGATAAAAGATGGCTTGATCGTTTCACCATAGATTATGTGTACAGGTTTCTTGAGAAGAATTGCAGGTCTTATTTGTCAGGAGTTCGATTTCCACCAGAAAAGACTCTGCAAGTCGGAATGGTGTATGAAATATAAGCATAAAATTTGTTCTTAGCTCCAATGTTAAAGGATATAGTAGTACTGTTTGAATAACGGAGAAGTTGGAGCCTTTGCTTGAGAAACTCCGATAATTTGGAGAATTTTATGTTTCTTTAAAATACATTTCTTGGTACAACCAAACTAGCATCAGTCCTAGAAGCTATATTGTTCAATCAAAACTTGTTGATTAGTTTAATGATTTCTTAATAATCATTTTCTTGATTGCTTGTGCAAAACAATAACAAAGAAATTTTTGGAGTTTAGTAAGAATCAAAATTGTAAAAAAATATCCCCAAAAGTACTATAGGTATTATTTTTTGACAATCACTCAATAAAGAGAAAAAAGTACATACATACTGTAGAAGAAGTTTAGCATTTTTTCCTCTTTCTTTTGTTTTCTTAGGCACAAAGAGAAAAGGTAACGCCTTAAAAATTAGTCTACAGTATAGTATGAAAATGAAATAACAATCAGGTCATATTTTATTCCTCTTTCTTTTATTTTGTTAAGTACTAAGAGAAAAGGACAAGTCTGAAAAATTAATTTTCAGTATCATATATATAAGTATAAAATAACGATCACGTTGTATTTCAACCACGAATTGAAGGTGCATGTCTAACAATTGTATATCACCCGGCACAGTAGTCACTCATTTTGATGATTAAATTATCACATGATTCCCTATAATTAAATGGAGAATTCTGTTTATTTACTTTCTCCCTCTTAATCTATTTCTTATATTTTCAATACAAAAATTACGTAACAAAAAATTTACTAACTGGAGAAGATTTCACGGTATATTCATTCATATTGTTACGAGAAAGCGGAACCAGAAGAAATAGAATGACATGGTACGAGAACCAATTACAAATGTACACATGGATGTACATGTACGAGGTTTCCCTGTTATAGTTGGTTAGTTTCAGTGAACCAGCTAAATCACTTGAAAGCTAACAACAGAAAGTTTCTAAAATTGTGGCTGATCTACTCTTCTCCCTCTCTTTGATTTGCTTTCACATAATTCTTGTGGTTCCATTTCGTATTTTATTAAATGCTCCATGTACAGGGTAATTATGGAGATAGGGACCTCTTTGTATGCCGTGGGAATTCAGTATTTTCTGCTAACTAATATTTTATACGGTTTAAATCTTCTGTAATACTTCCTCCGGTCCTTATTATAAAGCATTTTGACTTTTTTTTTTAAAAAAAATTCACATAATACACATTTTTAATTGACAAAAAAACTTTAAAACTATATTTTCATATTCATTGCGTTCTCTTGATTATTATGGAATATTTTAAAAGTTTTTTTTACCGATTAAAAATGTGTACTAGGTTAAATCTATGACAAATCAAAATGACTTATAATAAAGACTGGAGGGAGGGACTGTAGTGTAAAATTTATATTTAATAGGAACATTCTAACAAAGTGGTAAAGAAAATTTGATAAATATAATTGAGCAAATGATATTTCAAGTCATTCTAGAGGAAGTGTAATGTAAAATTGTTATAAATTAATTTAAAGATCGTCCACGTGATAAATATAAGGATTGAGTCCGACAATTAATTGACAGATTCGAAATGAGTGATCGACCATGCAGGTGTAATCCTTTTGGCACTAAAATACAAATATATATTACAGAGAGGAAATGACAAAATTAATTAAGAGCGATGTTTTATGTTTTCTCCATACTAATAAAACTTATAGGGTTCACCCTCTTCAATAAATAAATAAATAAATAAATAAAATAAAAATAAAAATAAAAAAAGAAAAAAAGAATTGCGAATTCTTACTTCGTTAGAGCTGAGACTGAAAGAAGAGCATCCAGTCATATCATAGCTGGAACAAAAGAATAAAAATAAAAATAATCGATGTACGATATTACGACAGAAATACTAACTAGTGTTTACCCCGTACGTTATGCGAGTTATTCAAAATATATATGAGTTTAATGATTTAATGATTATATGACATTTCCAATAGAGTGATGTATGTTAAAAAAATAACACTAATGATATAAATTACAATTGTGTAAATTTTAATATCAATGTGTTTTGGTAAGTACATGTGGAATAATATATAGGAAATCATCCTTTATCATTTATTGTCCATCTTTTTTATTTTGTTAATTTATTGCTTTATATATTTTAAAAGTATTCTCTTAATTTTTCATAATAATCTTTTTAAATATTTTTCCCGTGTCATATCATTTAAATTATCTCTCTAACAGAAAATTTTATCATAATTTTTTTTCCATAAACTTGTTTTGATTTTCCATCTCTGTATACCTTTTACAATTTTTCTTTAGAAGTTTGTTTGTATATTTTCCTATAATTAGTTTTTGCTTTATTTTATTTTTTTTATTGTTACGTAGTCTTCACCTTCTTTTTTTTTTAAAAAAAAATGATGACCTTTTTTAAAGTTTCATTTCTTGAAATTTTTTTAATAATTGAATTTTCATCATTATCTCGATTTGTTTTTTCATATTTTCTTGTTATCTACATAATTTTTTCCTCCATATAATTAGTTTCAGTTTCTTATATACTTTTCTTGTATTATTTGTCTCTCAAAAAAACTTTGTTCTTTTTTCTATTTTGGAAAATTTTCTCCCTCTGGATCCCTACATTTTGTTTATCATCCTAATGTTAACTTTTTCTATCATTATATTATGTGAAAAAAATATAATGAATCATCTAAATAGTTTTTTATATTTTGGTGTAGATTATCAATCTTAATCAAATGTAGAAAATTCATCGATGAAAATCACATGCCGTACTTGAATTCTAAGATTAATATGCAATGAAAAAGGCACCAAAAAAAGGAAAACTATTGATCACCGTCATGGAGTTTTAATTCTCTTAACTACGATGAATCGATTTTTATTCGGGGCTATCGAAAAATTGCGTCTTACTATTGTTATTTTTTTTTATCTAGACGTGTTAATGTTATAAGGAATAAATTAATTTAAATATTTATTTCTTATAATTTTATTTTTTAAAACTTATTTTATTTAATACCAATATTTAATTATATATGTTTAAATTTAAAACTTATTGTCCTGAAATCGTGAATCAAATTGAGTTTATTAATTATACTATACAAAACCAAGTAACAAAAACCAAAACGATGAAAACTATGTTGAAAATGCATTTTCTTCATGTTTTATTTATAAGATACACATGTTTAGTTATATTCTTTTGTAAGTAGAATTTGTCTCTAATAGTTTATATTTAATAGATTTTGAAAAAGAAAAGAAAGAAATTAAAAAGTGTTATTATTCAAGCAAAACTTAGAAACTAAACTCTATTTCCATTATCTACTACTTTTGATTGGAGGGATCGTCCACATGTCATTGAATGTATTGAGGTTTTATCCAATTTTTGTTATCCACTTTCATGTGGATTAATTCCCCACCCCCCCCCCCCAAAGAAGAATTAGGACTTTTATTCAACCTTTTTTTTTGTTGGAATTTTATATTAATTATTATATGTCTTACTTATGGTGATGATGATTTTTTGTTCAACTAATTTCCTTACTAAAAAATCTCTTTGTAATGTTATTTGATTTTAGCTTAAGTGGTGGATATCCAGATTTAATAGAGTCTGTATTCAGTATACCCTGGAGCATGTGCACCCCTCCTATTTTTTGCACTACTAGTCCTTATTGTATTTTTTTCTCAACTCTTCTTATATTTTACAAATTTAGTCCCTGTTACTTTTTTTTTCTCTCTTCCAAAAAACAGCTCTAATCTTTAAACGACCATATCTCATGATCTGTAAAGAATTAGAGAATGTGTTATGCATAAAAATTATAGTACTCATCGAGATCTATCCAACAAGATTCATATCGAATATTTTTTTCCAACTTAAAAATGACTAAATTTTGATGGGCAGAAACAAAGATATTTGTACCTTCATTTGGATAGATATCCGGTTTAAAAAGATGGATAACCAACTTATTTTATATTAAGATTCTTGTATCGCGTATATCTTTTGATCCGAAAAGAACTAGAATACGAATTATATATGAAATTTATAGTGCTCGACGAGATCTATCCAATAAGATCAATGTTGAAAAAATTTTTGAACTTTAAATGCATTTAAATTTTACGGGCAGAAATGAAGAAACTGAAAAATGGTTATCCATTGTGTTCATATTGATTATCCAACCGGTTGGACTGATTATCCATTTTATTTGTACTGGTTATCCAATCATATTTTTGACATTCACTCCTCTTCAAAATAAAAAAGAAAGAAAAAAGAATCAAATATTTGGATAAGCATTACAAACCATTTAGATAATCAGTGGAAATAATTGGATAAACAACACCAAACCGGTTGAATAATCAGTACAAATAAAAGAGCAAGGAAAAAAAAGGTTGGATAACCATCACCAAGAAGTCGAATGGATAATCAGTGTGAACACTGGTGGGTGTTAAACCAATAAAAATAAATATAATCTACTCCTAACAGATTTGGTAGTATAGAAGTGAGTAGGATCGTCTCCTCAGGGAACAAGTAAGTGAATTTATATCTAATTAAAAGCAAAGTAAATATAGAAAGGATGTTTCGAGTTGAAAATAAATAAAAGACAAATAAATAAAACAATTAATTAGGATGACAAATAAGAGAGAGAAGGTTCTAGTTAAAGTATTATTTCCACCTTGATTCAACCAATTGATCCTTGATGCAAAGATAAATTCATATAATTCACAAATAAATTGGTTATAGTTGTTGGCATGGCCTAACAACTAATTTCTCCTTACTTTATCGGTAGTCAAGATACGATCGTTAACTACTTCTCTAATCAAAAGACAACCCTAGAGACGCTCGTAGGATTTAGTGTTCCAACAGTATTAAGACCTAAAGAAACCTAATTTCAATTAACAAACACACAGTCGGGATTATTTAAATTGGATTATTTATTTCCACAACACGCCTCAGCTGCTTACTCAGGCAGTCTGAGTTGTTGATTGCCACTTATTAAAACTAAACAAACAATTCCCAATTTGCCGTTTTAAATAGCTATAGATCAATATGAAATAATTAAACACTGCACACATATTTAATCAAACCAAATCAATCATAAACCCTAAAATCAGGAAATAAACAAATACTTATGAATATACAAAAAAAATACGTTCAATTAGATCTTATAATTGTCATGAATCAAGGTTTCAATAATCCTTCAACTAGAAAAAGAGTCTAGCTACTAATCTTAATAGAATCAATAGCAAAAGA